GCGCGGAGTGGGACTCGGGGGCGGGCGGGCTTGCGCAAAATGTGCCGGGGTTGTTTGGGAGAGGAGCGTCAGCCGCGCTGAGCCAGGTAAGACCCGCCCAGGGGGCCAGGCTGACCGGCCCCTCGGGAACCCGTAGTCCCGCGCCCCTTCCCAACTCCATCCCTGCCCCTTCGCGAGCCTAGCACGCCGCCTGGACTGGAAGCTCATCAGAATGCCAGTGCACCCGCCCCACCAGTCCCGTCCGCAGGAGCGCGTGGAGGCTGACCCTCTCCGGCTCAAGTCAGTGAATCTTTCCCGCACAGGGAGGAGGCTGGCTGTCCCGTTGGTCAGATAAGAAAACAATGGTGGAACACTGACTTTTGCCCTGAAACTCACAGCTAGGTGAGGGCAGATGAGGGTTTGAACCCAGAGCTCCCGTCACCCTCTGACCCAGGTCTGTGTGAGGCTTTCCACCCATCGCCCCAGAAAGCCTGCCTATGGGACCGAGTAGGGGCGCCCACCTCTTCTAGCACCTCTGAAGTCAGCCTTCTTTATGGGGTGGGAGGGCATGGGAGGAACCCTACCCCCACCCTGAGCTGCCTGAAATTCCACCATCACAGCTACATTCCTTTGGGTTATGGTCTAATTCCCCCGTGGGATGCACATGTCTTCAGAATGGGGCTTGCCCTTAGTGATTCACGCCCCGGTAGGAACTTGCACTGTGCTTTGCTTCTCACTTGGGTATAGGGCTCAGTCAGTGATGGGCTGAGAGGAGGGAGAGAGCCCCCCAGAGCCCAGTACTGTGAGCCTGCCTGCTTGTGTGTGTGTGCTGGGAGGGCAGGGAAGGGCGGTTGGAGACACTTTGGAGGGAGATCTTGGCCTGACGTGGTGGGACCATTTCCTACCATCTCCTTTGGTGGCAGATGGACTGTGTTCTGATCCGGAATGCTATTTACTGCCTGTGTGACTTTGGGTAAGTCACCTCTCTGAGCCTCATTTTCCTCATAAAATGAGGACATTTCTATAGGAGGCAGGCAGCTTAGCACCTGCTAGAAAAAAAGAAAAAAAAAACAGCATTTGGGTCATGTTAACCTGGGCTAAATCCCAAAACTCTTTGAACTGGGTATCTATTGGGAAAATGACTTCATTTTTGTGAACTTCAGATTTCTCATCTATAAAGTGGAAAATGGAGTCATTATTTAATTGGGTTGCTGGGAAAATTAAATGAGATTATATAGGTTAAGCATTTAAAAGTATAATAAGAGGGCCACAGAACTATGGTGATGTATACAGGTAGTAAGCCCATAGGGACTACAACTGGGATGGGAAAATGTACAAAATGAAGAATGATGTCAAAAGTACATTTTTTAAAAATCCAACAAAATAGTCCAAATTTAAAAAATAATAATGATAACCACAGACAAAAAAAGTGTCTAACACCCTTAAATGGTACAAGTGGGCTTGTGATGGTTGTAGACATTGTCCCCACCCCATTTCTCTCTCTCCCTCTCTCTCTTTCTCTCTTGCTCTCACTCTCTCTTGCTCTAGCTCTCTCACACTCTCTTTCACACACACACACACACACACACACACACACACACACACACACACACACACACATTTTTTGGCACCTCTCCTCCCAACCAGAGTCCGGAGATATTTGTTCCCTACCTGCAGACCTGGGCTTCCCCTCCTCAGCACACCTTGCCTGGGCTGCTTGGCCCTGTGGGTCATTGTCCCAGCTGGGAAAGACAATAGGTGTCCAGGACATGTTCACAGACTCTCAACTTAGTCATCACAGTGGTTGGGGGTGGCTCGTGGCAGAATCTGAACCAGGCTGCTGGCCCTACAGAGGGGACACTGACAGGTTAAGGGACTGGCCCCAGGGTGGCGATCTATGGAGGCTGGATGTAAACTGTCTCTATGTTACTCCAGTTCTTCTTGTCTTTCAAAGCTACCCACAGTGTCTTGGGCACTGCCAACAGGTGGCCCTAGCTGGGGGCCCCATCTATCAAATGCTAGGGCATATTCCAGATACCACAAGGTTGGCCCCTGCTGGATCTGCAGATGCACACTTTGGGAGCCAGGTGGGATCTAGAAGGAAGAAGAGGGGGAAAATACTGCCTCCAGGCTCAGCACTAAGGCCAGGCCCATCCTTGCCTTCATCTTGCACTGCAGTAGAGCTACTTAAGGGCCCTCCCTGGTGGTGCAGCGGGGTGAAGCACAGCACTAAGCACATACCACTTCAGCATGAGTTCCATCCCCACCTGCCCCCAAGATGACCCACTTGGTGCGGCAGACCTCTCCTGACCCTCCCGCTGCTCCCCTCAGCAGTGTACTTTGTCAGTCCGCCTGTTCTGCTCCCTGTTCTGTGTCTGGTGAATCTTCTCACCACCCCTGAACCTCTCGCCTATACCCCAGTTCTTAATACTAGGGTTGTCATGTAATAAGAAATCATCAGGAAATTACCAATGCCGGGAAAGTGATAAAACATCTGAGGCTGTGGGGAAGAGCATTTCCAGTGGAAGGAGCCACAGGACAAAAGCCCTGAGGCAGGAATGCACTCGCTGTATTTGAGGAACAGGAGAAAGCTAGAATCTTTGAGATGAGAAAATGATAGATGGCGTCAGGGAGACATTTGTGTGAAGCTAGGGTTTGGGGGAAGGTTTTCAGGCAGCAGTGATTCGTGATCAGGTCAGGAATTATGTGACGTTAACTTAACAGCGCATCACTCAGGCTATGTGTGGGACAGACTGTGAGGAATCAGGGTGTTGCTGTGATTAAGGCCTAGGATGGTGGTGGTGCCTCAGACAGTGAAGGAAGAGAGGGTAGGCAGGTCTGGCCTGTTTTCAGGGAGAGAAGACAGGAACCCCCCCCCCCATGGGGAGAAGGAATGTGGTGAGACAAAAAAGGGAGTCACCAGCACCACTGAGATGCCTATCCATCCCCTGGCATCCTCTGACCTGCTCTGTGGTGTGAGATGAATTCCAGAGAGGGAGTCCCCTCTGCTCTAGAGGTGCTTTCCATAGGAGAGAAGCGGGGAGGGGGCAAGCCATGGCAGCCAGCAACACATGCTTATGGGAAGCTCCGGGAGCTGCTCGGAGAGCTAATAGGAAGGGTCATGTATAGTCCAGACTTAGAAAACCATGGAAGGCTTCCTGGAGGAGGTAACATATAAGCCGAGACCCAAAACATGAGGCGGTTTCTAGCGCAAGATAAAGGAGAAAGTGAAGGTTTGGGGCAATGAAATGTTGGTCAGGGACTGAAGGTTACCTAAGGCTTTTGGAGACCAGTTCAGGAGAGGGAACAGAGAGAAGGGTTGGCTGGGAGGGGCGCCTTCCCCAAGAGCCCCAAAGCCTCCACTGATACTCATACTCGATTCTAAGCACACTAACTTTCAGATGGGTGGTGATGTTTTGGTTTTAACAGCAGAACAAAATTTCTTGTGAAATTCAGGTGAGTGGAGAGCCGCTGTCAGCAGCAGGACGGGGTTAGCGTGACCCTGAGGGAGCTCAGGGAGCAGGCTTCAAAGCCTCTACTTGGCCCTTGCATGCTGGAGCAAGGAAGGATGTCAGAGAAGAGCCACCTACAGTTAAAATTTACCCCTAAAGGTGCCAGTGGATTTTAACCCCTGGGTGCCTCTTCTAAAATAGCCTTCAGAGTCACAACTCAGCAGTCATCTATTGCGCTCTTCTGGAGACCTCATACTGTAGAGGTTAAGGCAGAGGCCCAGCAGCCAGGCCGCATGGGCTGCCACTTGCTAGCCGGGGGACCTCGGACATGTTCTTTAATGTCTCCAAGACTCCACTCCGCTTCCCCATCTGCACCACCGGCGTGGTGATCAGAGAACAAAATCGTGAAACATTGTGAAGATTGAGCTAGTGCAAGTAAAGTATCAGGGAGGGTGAGTGGTGCAGAACTGCTCCGTAAGTGAGACAGTCGTAGAATAGACTTCATTGGATCTTTAACAAACTTGGTGAGGTTGACGTTTACCTTAGAAGAGGAGACTGAGGTTCAACGGTGAAGGCACATGCTCAAAGTCACATGGCAGGTTGAGAGGAGGTGACAGCAGCTAGGGTTGAGGGACAAGGGGCCCAGGGCTCCTGAGGCCTCTGTGTGCCCCCCCTTGTTGCATGATAGGTATTATGATGGAAAATGTGTTCCCACTTCTCAAAAGAGGCAGGTATAAAGGTATGAATGAATGGATGAAATTGATGGATTAACCTATGTGCTCCTAACACTTAACCCGGGTCATCAGTAAGCCCCTAGCAGCACTAGGATTTACCCTGCTGAGGTCTCTGGCACCTCTAATCCCACCTCTGGGAGAAGGGCTGAGCCAGCAGGCCTTAGTGTCCCTCCCTGCATGCCTGAAGTTTAAGTGAAAGTGCTCTCGGCCACCTGCCCCTGGGGAAGTCCAGGGTAGAAGTGCTGGGGGCAGGGTGGCCTCCTGGCGGGCTTCCTGTCAGTGCTGTAGGCCCAGCCTTCAAACAATGGCAGGGACTCCAGAAGCAGAAAATCAAAAGAAAAAGGGCAAAATAAAAGCCCAGGGTGGGGGAATTAAGGAATTCCGTTTGGGGGCCGGGATGGGGGACGGGCTGATGACCTGGATGGAAGTGGATCCTGAGGCCCAGCTCCCACATCACCCTACCCCAGCCCTGAGCTTGGCTCAGAGCAGATCTAGGTTCCTTCTGCTCCTGCTTACCTAACCCTCTAGGCTGGCTTCCACCGGCGGGATCTTTTGAAATCCAAAGTGACCACTGCTGTTGCTGTTGGAAGACTCCTGCACCCAGAGAAATGGCTTAGCAGATGGGTTGACATTGGAAGCCCTTTGCGATGGGCTACAGCCCTATTTCTGACCCCTCCTTGCCACATCCACAGAACTTTTCCCCCAGCTGCAGCTGTGACCTGGGGGGTCCCTGCTGGTAGATGCTGACAGGTGGGGGTGGCGGGAATGGTAGTGGGACGGAGACAGTGGTCTGACGGTGTTTCCGTTCTTCCCACCCTGTCTGCTACACAGAGCCATGAGCCACCGGACCCTGCAGCTCCTGGCTGTGCTGACTCTGGGCCTGGCCACCTCCCAACACCGAGACAAGATGCCCTGTAAGATGGTAAGAGGCCCTGCCCAGGCAGGGTAAGCACCAGTTACTCCTCTAGGACACCCCGTGACCCCTCTATGAACCAATTCTATTTGCTCCCTTCTCTGGGAGCAAGACCTGAGATGATAGCAGCAGGTAACGGTGAACTCAGGGGAGGGCTGACCAACCCTTCAACCCTTCAGCCCCCAGAAGCCCCTGCCCCCTCCTCTCCTCCTCCCCTCCCACCCTGGGAGGAGGTCTGGGTCCCTAAAGTGCTGAGCTGCCCTCTTTCTCAAAAACTGGGCAGTGGGGTAGTTGGTGAAGGTGTCTACCCCTCTCTGCCCAAGAGTACTTTGCGGGTTTGATTTACTTCTGTTCCTCTTTCCTGCCCTGAAGGTTCTGTGCCCCTGCAGGGTTCACCAGAAAAGGAGGCCCGGGGCTGCTTAGAAGCCTGGGCAGTCACTGAGGTCAAGGCTGGTGCTTGGACTGAGCCCTCCAGCAGCCTCACTAGGACCTGGGGCTGGAAGCTCTTGACCAGAGAGGAGGGGAGGAGGGGCAGGGGCTTCTGGGGGCTGAAGGGTTGGCAGCCAGGCCAGCGGCCCTCCCCTGAGTTCACAGTTCCCTGCTGTTGTCATCTCAGTTCTTGCTCCAGGACCCCTCTGAGAGGCCCAGAATCCAAAATATCAGGCAGAGAGGGCTTTGGATGTCACCCAGTGCAACTCTATGTTCTACCTGGGGAGACAGGCTGAGAATGAAGCTCCCGGGCCACCCACAGACAGAGGGGAGCTGGTGAGCTTTGACTACCAGCAAACAAGACCATGGATAGGAAAGCATGCTCTGAACGAGCAAGCTGCCATGGAAAAATCAACATATTTGGCAGCTATGGAGATTTTCAAAGTAGTAAAAAGAAATAGCCACATGCTCAGGGCTCTTGGGGTGCCACACTGTCCTAAGGGCCCTCTCTCAGCTGAGGGACCTGACTCCGAGAGAAATGATGTGACCCACCAGTTCACACAGATAGGAAGTAATAGAAGCAGGACTTGAACCGGTTCCCTAGACACAGGCTGTCCACTGCCAGAGCCTCCTCCTTCCGTTCCTTCCTGTATACAGGTGACAAAAGGGAGTTAGTGGCAAGTCCTTTCCCTACTAAAAAAATTGCTGGAGAGGGCCCTCCCTGGTGGTGCAGCGGGTGAGGACACAGCACTGCAAGCTGGCCATAGCCACTTCAGTGCAAGTTCGATCCCCGGCCCCGGAGGTGACCCACATGGTGCAGCAGACCTCTCCTGACCTGCCCGCTGCTCCCCTTAGCAGTATATTTCAATAGACCTGCCTGTTCTGTTCCCCACTCTGTCTCTGGTGTCTCTTCTCACCCCCCGAACCTCTGGCCTATACCCCAGTTCTGTATGAATAAATAAATAAATCTTTAAAAAAAAAATTGCTGGAGAGTTACCTCTAGCGTCCGTGAGAGTGTAAGTAGCAGGTTGTCAGAAGAAGTACTGGACTTGGTTATAAGTCAGTTGTGCTGGGGCTTAGAAGCCCAGGAAGCAGAGGGCCCTAGCATGGCACCCTGAGAGCGCCCCTGGCCTTCAGCCTCCCTCCCTGGCAGCCCGCCAGGTGCCTGCCCACCAGCAGCCCCTCTGGGTCTGTGGCAGGGGTCCCGGGCACCTGGGCTGAGAGGAGATTTAGCCTCTGGGTTTGACCCACTTGTGTCCCTGCTCAGCTCTCAGGGGCTGGTACCCCAGGGGAACCTTTGCACAACCAGAGGTGAAGCAAGGTGACATTTGCACAAGGGATGCAGTGTGAAGCACTTATCTCGTCCACCCCAGGAAGTGCCCAGGGAGTGGTGCCCACGAAAGAATCAACCCAGGAGCCCATCCCGCTGAGAGCCTGTGGTCAGAACTTGGCTCGCACCATTGGGCAAAGGCTTACAGTGATACTTTTGAGTCTCTGACTAGCTAATTTAGAGCAGCCTGCCCCCTTAAACTTGATTTTTCTCTGGGGGTCTGATCGGATAAATAGTCCCTGGGAGGGTCAAATGAGGCTCGCCATCGATGTGCAGCCCGAGTCTGGCCCGGAGCTATGCAGGGCAGCAACTGTGCTCATGTTGCCATTTCTTCTGCAAGTCAGGACGATCTGGGAAGCTGAGGCTGGGACTGAGAGGGTGCTCCCTAGTGGTCCCAGCTGACAGAGAGACCGAGACAGATGAAGGAGCCAAGCAGACTGGCTTGGTGGCTGTGGCAGGCTTCCTGCAGGGGCCCGGGTGGGGGGCGGGGGCGTCCCAGGGTCTCAGACTCCATGCAGCAGCCTTCCCTGGAGTGTCAGCCACTGCTACACTGAGTAGTCACCCACATGCCTGGGCAGGGGCACCAGGGAGGACGAGGGAGGGAGAGGCACTTCTGTCCCCATCCTGCCTTCACCCCTGCACCCACCTTGGGGCTCTGGGGATGAAGTGGGAGGCTGGCTAGGCCGGGAAGACCCAGGCTGGTGTTCTTGCCCTGCTGGCACCACCACTGAGTCTCTTTGACCTTGAACAGGTCATTGCCACCTTCAGACTCAACCTCCCCATCTTTGTCACTCTAATGATCTTTGACACTAGTGTAGCTATTTGGGTCGTCCCATGTTTTCCTTTAAGAAAGGTGATTGAGCGGACCCTTTAGGCCTTCACTGAGCCGGTGAAGCCTGTGCCTTGTTTCATTCTCTAAGAAGTTTTCTGTGGGCCAGCCCAAGCATCCACTTCAATCACACAAGCCCCTGTTTGCTCTGGGATGACTGTGTGGCAGGTACCCACACAGGTATTCCCAGTTCAGGGCAGAGGCTCTGAGAGAGGAAGCCCCTGTGGAGGCCCTGACCTGCCAGGCGACCAGGGAGGAGACTCCAGAGCTCAGCGTACAGAGGTCGCGCTGCAGATCTAGTGAGACTGGCATAACCAGCACAGGGGATAGCAAGGAGACCCGGAGGCGACACTGCTTGCTGCTGAGGTTTAGAAGGAGAGGGGACAGGTTGGCAGGGAGCCACAAACACTCTAAAGCCCTACTGACAGGCCTGGACTTTGTGCCAGGGTTCTTTTTTTTTTTTTTTAAGATTTATTTATTTGTGCATACAGAACTGGGGTGCAGGCCAGAGATGCGGCGGGTGAGAGGCTTCACCAGAGACAGAGTGGGGAGCAGAACAGGCAGATCTACGAAGTATACTGCTGAGGGGAGCAGCGGGCGGGTCAGGAGAGGTCTGCCCCGCCATGTGGTCACCTCCAGGGCAGGCGGGGATTGAACTCATGCGGAAGTGGCTTCAGCTTTTCAGTGCTGTGCTTTAACCCGCTGTGCCACCAGGGAGGGCCGTGCCAGAGAGTTTTAAGAGGGGGCAGCATATCGGAGTGGGGTGTGTGCAACTGCACACAACCAGGCATTTGACTGGTAGGCGGGTAGTAAGTGGGACAGAGGCTTGAATGGGAGTGGGATGAGCTGGGAGGTTGTAGAAATAAGGCCCTTTGCTGGCAAGGCCTGAGGCTCCTGGGACCTGGGGAAAGGTGAGAGAGCAACTGCATTTGCACAGAAGTTACACGTGGTGGGAAGACAAGAATGGAGCCTTTGCTTGTGAGAACACCGGGGTTCAAATCCCAGCTCTGTTCCTCACCAGTTCGAAGCTGAAAGCCTCAACTTCCATTCCTCTCTTTGAGCTCAGGTTCTACAAATAGGGCCTACTAACTTTATGGGCAGGCTGAGGTGAGGAGTCAATGATATAGTGGGCCTCAAGTCTTGATAAAATGTAAAGTGCTGAGTAGGTGCTGGAGAAGGGTGAGTTATGTCCTAGATCACAAATCAGAGCATCAACATGATCGATGGGGCTCACACAGCGAAATCACAGGCTTGCCCTCAAAGATTGGGGTGGGGGGGCTGGCCCTCTTTCCCCTGTCCCTTGGGCCTACTCCCCACTCCAGGTTCTGACCTAGACTGGGCTATGAGAAGCGAGGGGGGGGGGGTGATGGAGGCAAGCAACACCAGAAAGGAGGTCACATCTGGGGAGCATCAGTGAGGAAGCTCTGGGGCCGGAACTCTGCCCATCGAATGAAGGCTTAATGAGGTCTGGGTGGGAGGCCAAAATAAAAACTGATGACAGGGGTGCAGATTTCATATTTCTCTTTCAGAAACATTTCTCCTGAAGTAGTTTATAATCTGACACCAACTGGGTCTATCTAACTGTCTGGGCCCAAAGACGGTGGTTTGGGGTAAACTCAGCTCTGCCGCTCACCGGCTCTGGATCATTCTAAACAATACGTGATTCGGTTTCCTATAAAATAATCACGACGGGGCGTTTCCACTTCGGGGCTTTTTTGTTAGTTCACTGGTCCTTTGACCTCTCTGTCCACCTGCCCATCAAAGCTTGAGGCCCCACCCTGAACTGGGCCCCAAAGACAGGGGCAAGGATTGGGGTGGGGGTCACCCAGACATGAGGTGCCTAGGCCGGGGGGACTTGGAATGTGGGGTATCCTGGGCTCTCAGAAGAGAAGCCTAATCAAGCCTGACAGAATTAAGTCATCTTCCCTAGAGGACCAAGTCTGGTCCCAACTTTAGTGCACCCCCTAATGCCTGCTACTCTCCCTGCCTCCCCAGGTGGACAAGGAGGCCTTGTGCCAGGGCCTTGGTCTGCTCCAGGTTCCCTCAATGCTCCCACTGGACATCGAGGCCCTGGACCTGTCTGGAAATCAGCTGCGGGGCATTCTGGACTCACCGCTGGGCTTCTACACGGAGCTTCGTCACCTGGACCTGAGTGGCAATGAGATCAGCTTCTTTCAGCAGGGTGTCTTCCAGGCCCTGCCGCATCTGGAACACCTCAACCTGGCCAACAACTGCCTGGGGGTGGGCACCTTGCTGAGTACCACCGGTCTGGGCACCCTGCCCCGCTTATTGTCCCTGGACCTGTCTGGGAACAGCTTGTACAGTGGCCTGGTGGAGCAGCTGCTGGGGGAGGCCCCTGCCCTGTGCACCCTCTCATTGGCCGAGAACAGCCTGACCCGCCTGGCCCGCCACACCTTCAGGGGCACGCCCGCGCTGGAGCAGCTGGATCTGCACAGCAACGTGCTGATGGACATCGAGGATGGTGCTTTCGAGGCCCTGCCTCGCCTGGCCCACCTCAACCTCTCCAGGAACTCCCTCACCTGCATCTCCGACTTCAGCCTCCAGCAGCTGCGGGTGCTAGACCTCAGCTGCAACAGTATCGAGGCCTTTCAGATGGCGCCCCCGGAGCCCCAGGCAGAGTACCAGCTGGCCTGGCTCGATCTGCGGGAGAACAAACTGCTGCACTTCCCCGACCTGGCTGCCCTCCCCAGACTCATCTACCTGAACGTGTCCAACAACCTCATCCGGCTCCCTGCACGGCCACCCCTGGGAGGCGAGGGCATCCATGCACCTTCTGAGGGCTGGGCAGCCTTGCCTCTCTCAAACCCCAGCTGGAATGCCAGCACCCACCACCACTCCCAGCTCCTGAACCTGGACTTGAGCTACAATGAAATTGAGCTCCTCCCGGAGGGCTTCCTTGAACACCTGTCCTCCCTGCGATTCCTGAACCTCAGCCGGAACTGCCTGCGGGCCTTCGAGGCCCAGCCCGCTGGCTCCCTGCCCTGCCTGCTGCTCCTGGACATTAGCCACAATGCCCTGGGGGCACTGGAGGTGGGCGCCCGGGCCCTGGGGTCTCTGAGGACGCTGTTCCTGCAGGACAATGCCCTGCGGGACATGCCCCCCACCACCTTTGCTGGCCTGGCGAGCCTGCAGAGGCTCAACCTGCAGGGGAACCGGGTCAGGCCCTGCGGGGGGCCGAGCCAGCTGGGCCTCTCGGACTGCGTGACCTTCTCCGGCATCCCCTCCCTCCGCATCCTGAACCTAGTGGACAATGAGATGGAGGTGCTCCACGCGGGCACCTTCCTCCACACCCCGCTTACCGAGCTGGACCTCTCTGCCAACCCTGGGCTAGACGTGGCCACAGGCGCCCTGGCCGGCCTGGAAGCCTCCTTGGAAGTCCTGGCCCTGCAGGGCAACGGGCTGGCCACGCTGCAGGTCGACCTGCCTTGCTTCAGCTGCCTCAAGCGGCTCAACCTTGCCGAGAACCGCCTGAGCAGCCTGCCTACCTGGACGCAGGCCGTGTCCCTGGAGGTGCTGGACCTGAGGAACAACAGCTTCAGCCTCCTGCCAGGCAGCGCCATGGGAGGCCTGGAGACCAGCCTCCGGCGCCTCTACCTGCAGGGGAATCCTCTCAGCTGCTGCGGCAATGCCTGGCTGGCCTCCCAGCTGCACCAGGGCCGCGTGGACGTGGATGCCACCCAGGACTTGGTCTGCCGCTTCGGCTCCCGGGAGGAGGTGTCCCTGAGTCATGTGCGCCCCGAGGACTGTGAGAAGGGGGGGCTCAAGAATGTCAACCTCATCATCATCCTCTCCTTCACCCTGGTCTCCGCCATCCTCCTCACCACGCTGGCCGCCTGTTGCTGCGTCCGTCGGCAGAAGTTCAGCCAACAGTACAAAGCCTAGAGACGCCCAGGCTGCTGACAAGCTCAGCCCGGAGGCCCGTCACGGGGTCAGTGGAGGAGCCAGAAGCACGGAGAAGGGGAGGGGCTGACACAACAAGCCAGGGTCCTGGAACCCCAGCCATGGCTCCTTTCCCTGCTTCCTGCTGCATCAGAAGGTGACACTTCCAGGCGCGCACATGTGGCTCAGCTGTGAAAGCCCCAAGTTGGGCAACTTCAGGGAACAAGGTTGAACCAGCAGCTCAACAGATCCTCGGGGCATTCGTGTTGTGCCACACCCTGCTCTGAGCACTGGGAACGCGGTGGGTGAGCTGTTGGCCGTGCCCATGAGTGAAATGGGTCCCTGCTCTTAAGCATCTCCCAGTCTGAGTGGGGAGGTGGTCGCAGAACCCTGCAGGGACCACACAGAATGTGGAAATCCAAGGCCCCAACGCCTTGCAGCCCCAGTGGGCTGAGAACGGGGAGGCGCGTCCTGGCTGGACCAGCGCACGGGAGGGGTGAGACCAGGAGGATTTGACTAAGATGTTTCCAATCAGCCTCTTTGTCACATCTTCTGATAATGACTTTCAGCCTTTCTGGAACATGAAGAACTTGTGCCTGGAAGAGAGAACTAAAGCCACATGAGCTTGCTTTGGACCCAGTGCTGTGGCGGCCCAGCAGGGCCTGGTTAAGAAGCTACCGCCCCAGGCCTCGGTGTGGCAATCGACCACCCGCTTCCCACCCTGGGCAGGCTCTGGCCCTGCCTGGCACCCTTGTGTCGCACACACTGGCCCAAATACTGCGCCAGCCCCCAGCCCCTGCCCAGGCCCACCTCCACAGTCTAGGCCCAGCCCGCCGCTCTGCTCATGAGCAGGAAAGAGAGGCTTATGTGTCTGGTTCTGTTTTGCACCAGGCTGGGCAGCTGCCACAAACCAAGCAGACTTCTGCCTCTTTATGACAACTGAAGTTGGTATTCTTTCCCATTTTACAGAAGAGGAACCAAAATTCTCCCTCCAGGGCCTTTCAATTAAGAAATGACATTGCTGAGATTCAGACTTCCATCCTTCTGACCTCACCGCCTGAGCTTGAGCCTGAGCTTGACCCCTGAGGGGGCTACAGGCTGGTAGGTGGACAGGAAGTGGCCCCACAGGCTGGAACAGGGCCTGGGAGCATCCTGTGCTGGGCACACCCACCCCTGCTCTCCCGGGCAGGCAGACAGGCAGCCACAGGCCCTGTCCCCCTTCTCTGCCTGTTTCCCTCACTCCCTTCTTTGCAGACCAGCACTGGCTCTTTTTTTTTCTCTTCTTACTCCGGTGTCCCCTCATTCTTTCTCTACCAAGTCAAACCTGAACCCCAGGTTTAAGACCATTAAGCCCTACCCCTCCCTTACACAAATAGGGAAACTGAGGCTTAGAAAGAAAATACCTTGTGTGCACAAAGCTTGTGAAGCCCATGAAAACAGGGACTGCAGACCTCAGTGGGCACCCGAGGCTGGGAGTGGGGGAGAGGCAGAGCCGTTTCCTTCACATGATAAGATCCTGCTGGTCCATCTGGTCCTCATCTTGCAGAGAATTTTATTTTCTCCTAGAGAAATGGGTAAAACTCCATTCAGATCTGGCTCATCATAACTGTCCCCCGCACCCATGAAATCATGGACTGTCCAGGAGGAAAGGAAGCCCTGGGATCAGAGCCTGTGTTCAGTCTTCACCCTCTTGGCCCACAGCCTGGCTCAGGACCATGCTCAGTAGTGTGAGACGATCAAAACGCCCCTCCCCCTGTTCCATTTTACAGATGAATAAACTGAGGCCCACTGTGGGCCTAGGACTCGGGAGTCATGGCAGAACTGAGGTGTGCAGGACAGCTGGAGGAGCCAGTCCTGGGTGGGAACCCCCTGGTGCTCACTATACACACACACACACGCCCCACCTCGGACTAGGAGGGCAGGTGTGGCCCCTTCGTGCCTGATCTTTGAAGACACTACACGACGCTGCTCTCACTCGCAGGGACCAGGCCACACACCAGGCCTCGGGACCAGCGCTTTGTATAACCCACATGAATGTATTAAAAATAGTTTTGGAGAAACCAGGTGTCTGCCAGCCTCCTCCTTGCTCAGCACATCGGCATCATCACTTCCGTTCCTGCCTGCTCCCTCTGCTTGCATCACGGCCTTTGAGTCCTCCCCGCAGGCTGGGGAGATGGCAGGTAGGAAACTGAGGTGCTGAGTCATCACCACCCTGGACCTTGGGGCCTCAGCTACCCTCACATTCCCTGGCCTCACCTTCCTCTGGGTGACCCCCAACTCTCACACATGCTTCTTCCAGCCTCCCCCAGACTGCAGCTGTCCTCAGCATTGCCCATCTTAAAAAGAGTAAAAAGGCCCTTCCTTTTAGTTCATGGGCAGAATCTTAGAAAAGTAGCTTCCCCGTCCTCCTGCCATAGCAAAGCCTCCACACTGTCCCCCGACACTGCCTTTGGCCCTCTACATCCTACTCAGTCCTGGCTGTGGTCACCCACGGAGTCCTTTGCCAAACTCACTGCCCTTTTAGACTGAGCGTCTTTGACCCACAGCTATGAGGGCCCCTGCACCCCCACTCTCCCTGACACCACCTCCTCCTCAGGACACTCTTGAATCTAGGGCCCACCACTTGTGGTTAACACCTGCCTCTTGGGCCGCCCCTTTTCGGGGGTCCTCTGTGGCATCTTTTCCTCAGGCCCTGAGCGGTGGCCACCACCACTCTTTCCCAGGCCTTCTGCCCCCTGGGAATGTCATGTGCTCATTGCTGTACAAACCGCCCCGTTGCTCTGATGACACCCACTGCTCTGTCTCCAACCTCAGCCCTGCTGAGCGTCCAGGCTGGCACCCCGAGGCCTCCCTGGCTAAAGAGCTGAAGTTCCCCCAGGGCTGGAGTGGCGTGGTGGTGTGCCACCCCCTGCAGATCAAGGTTGAACCTGGAAGAAGAGCCAGGAGAGGCCAGAAGAAGGCCATTCCTGTTTTCTGGGTGGGAGTTGAGGGTGAGGGTAGACAGAGGCTCTGGGAGAGGGGGAAAGAGCCACCTCACCGGGTGGGGCCAGGCAAGGGCCTCTGAGTCACAGTTTAGAGGGCAAGGATGGCCTCGCTGGCTTCCCACTCCCAATTTGCAGCCCCTGTACCTGTGATCCTGCCTCCCCTTCTCAGCTGCCTGACCCCTAAGCAGGGACCTCCAGCTACCTCCTATTCCCAGATTCAAGTCTCAGCTCGGCAGTGTTTTGCCCTTTCTCCCAGGCAGCCTGGAAACTTCCCCAACCTTCTCTCACCTCCTGGGTCCTGCTCCCAGCTGCTGCTCTCCCAAGCGACAATACCTGTTTCATGGCTGAAGTTGGGGGGGTGACTCAACTGTCCCGCACACAGTAGGGACTCAGGGAAGGCCAAAGGGCAGGTGGCAGCGTGGGTTAAGTTCATCCCGGCTCTGCAGGTCTCTGATACAGCTGGGAGTCCACGAGCTCCCTGACCCCTTTTCCTGGAAAACAGGGGAGTTTATTCACCTGGCCAAGACCCCCAGCAAGGCAGAAATTCCTGTTTTCAGCCAAACGTGAACACAGCTGCCAACTAGGTCATCAGAGCATCCGGCAAGTTCCAGGGAGGGGGAGGCCCTCACGGGACCCTGTCACAGGCGGTCTGAGGGGCCAGGTCACCAGCTTGTTCAGTGCAGTGAGCTGTCATGACACGGGGAGGAGTCAGACTCCCTGGGGAGGGGGGCCGCCCCGAGGCCCACATGTTGCCTCACCTCTCATCCCCTAGGACTGCTATCATATCCAGCCCGCTGTCTGCTTTCGGTGCTGCAGTCCTTCAACTGACAGGCTTGAGGCCTGGCCGCCCCACCCAAGCTTATAGTCACTGGCACTGTGGGCCCGTGTTGACTGCACTGAGCACCGAGGTGCATGGTGGTATTTCATGCTAACAAGTTCTGAAGCCATCTCTACCATCATCCCCATTCGACAGAAACTGAGTCTCGTGTTTCCGCAGCTATAGTGCCAGAGCCCAGGCTTGAGCCCTGTCTGCCCCTCTCTGGAGCCAGTGTAACGTTGCCTCCAGACCCTCCCCGATGGGCCTCCTCCCCCACTGGGTGTCTCATAAACACGCCCCATCCATCCGCCAAATTCCTCAGCATTCCCGAGGTTCTCCGGGTCATGTCCTGATTCCCTCCTCCATCTCTCCACAGTCCTGGTCACCCTGGCCACAGCCTCTGGGTCTGCTTCCCGACACCAGAGGGTGGTCCTCCCTGGTCCTTTTCTGGGTCCCCTGTGAGATGACACAGGGGGAGCTCAGAAGATGCTCCTGACCCAAAGGCCCCAGCACTCTAACACTTAAAAATTTGTGGGGCTCACCCCCAACCTCAGACAGAGAATGGAATAACCCAGAGGACACAGAGGGGAGGCAGAGGCAATGGCGGCCAGAAGTGAGGCCAAGAAAGATCCGTTTGCCCCCTCATCCCCTTCAGTTACCTCTCACCACTCTGGACGTGGGTAGGTCTCCACTTCCCCTCCTAGCCCTCCCCACTCTTCTCCTTCCCTCCTAATGTCCTCTTCCCTCCCAGTGTTCTCACTGGGAGCTTTTGCGCTGTGGTGGCTGAGAATGGGGAGGGATGGAGGGATGGAGGGGCGGAGAGGGAGGTCTGAGCTGTTTATAGGAACTGGAGCAGCTCCATCTGTCAGCTCTGTTTGGAGCTACAGACCAAGCATAATAAATACCTTGGCTCCTCCCAGCTGTGCTTTCCCTGAACTTGGCCACTGGCACTCCCAAGTCTCTCTGGCTTGCTGGTTCTCAGGGCCCAGCTCCCACCCCACCCCGCCCCACTCCCACTTCCCAACAGGCTGTTCTGGAAAGAGCCGGCTCTGGGGGGCAGGTATGTCGGGCTGAGTCTAGGCGCTGCTACCACTGGCTTTGGGAGCAAGGCAAGTCATGCCGCTTGTCTGGCCTCCGTGTCTCCATCTGTGAAATGGGTCACCCAGTGTTGTTCGTATGCTCGGCTTGAGTGGCTTCAGCCTCTGCTCTGCACTGGCCCCTGGGTCTTGTGGGATCCCTGCGGTCTGTCAGACAGAACCACCGGTGGACGGAGACTCTGCCTATTGGCGGAGGGAGGGGCTGCACCAAGTACAAGCAGGAAGTGGTCAGCACAACTGGGAGGTCTAGATTTTGTGCTCAGGGAGTTTGTTTGCAGGGAGTGGCTTTCCAGCTGGAGGAGCAAGGGGAGACCTTGGGGACATCTGTGCTGGCTCTGCAAGGAAGGGAGGGGGCTCTGCATGTTGAGATGAGGGGGCTCTTCCAGGCAGAGCAAC